CAGGTGCTTGCTCAGGGCGCGGAAGGGACTATTACAGATAGGACAACCGATCGCCATCTTTTTTGTATGCCTGAGCATTTCGGTACCGGGAAGTGTCAACAGTAGAATGTATAGAACCGGGGGCGACAAAGAAGGACAGGTGAAAAGAAGAAAGTTGCACTCAGCGAACTAGAAAGACCCCATGTCAAATCTCTCCGGTTTATTTTGAAAACATTGAGTTTTCCCTTTGCATCATCGTGCGAAAGGTGTTCCATTTAGGCACTCGTTAGGCGGGCAGAGATCCCTGTCATCTATCGGTCCTATCATCCAGGCAAGGCGGGAGCCAAAACTGGGTGAAATAGTGCCTCCTAAGGCGGGTAGAGTCCCCTGGCAACTCCCCTTGCATTCCTCCAGAGGCAAAATAAGTTAAAGTTAACTTTTGGAAGAACCAGAGAAAGGGGTTAAAATGGATCAAATGTGTCCGAAAATAGTGTCTCGTTATTCCGTGGCAACTCCCCTTGAATTCCTCCAGAGGCCAGTTCGAAAACTTAAAGTTTGGTAAGAACCGTGATTGGGGGTCCTCCGGGCAACAATTGTATCCGATCCAAAGTGCTCACTCATCGGACGCATTCCTCCATGATTTCCCCATCATGAGAATTAGGCCGTTTTTGTCTAAGTGCTCTCAAAAACCGGGTTTCCGATTTCGTGCAGATGGTAGCTTGGAAAAGATGAATGAAAATTGTTAACGGAGGAGGGGAGGTCAGTATTCCCCTCTACGTTGAAAAGTGCAACGGGTCAGTGGAAATGTCTCCGGGGCTTCCGCCGGAAGCGCCGAAGACTTGAGCCCCTCACCCGTTGGCACTTAGCCGTTTTTTCGAGAATTTTTAAAAACTTCGTTTTGGATTAATTTAAGATATAATTGACCGTTTTATTTACTTTTTTTTGCTTTCCACGGGTGGGGGTGCATAGCAGGCCGCATATGAGTTCCCAAATTCGGCCCGGAACCTCCGGGAATTGGGTCCATTTAATCCACATGTGACTCCCCCATCAAATGTACATGAAATGGACACGAGAAAATGTACATGAAATGGACACGAGGAAATGTACATGAAATGGACATGAGGAAATGTACATGAAATGGACACGAGGAAATGTACATGAAATGGACACGAGGAAATATACATGAAATGGACTCGAACTTCATTTTTTATTATTTTAACATGTAATTGACCGTTTTCTTTACTTTTTTTTGCTTTCCACGGGTGGGGGCGCATGGCAGGCCGCCGATGAGCTCCCAAATTCGGCCTGGAACCTCCGGGAATTGGGTCCATTTCATCCACATAACATGGATAAAGTGTAGCCCGAAATAGTGTCTCTTAAGGCGGGTAACAGTCATGGGAAGATGTCCTGCCAGCGACTGGACTTAAGCCGATTTGCATTGGAACTCCACATTGCATTCTTCCACGGCCACCAACATGGAACCAGGGTACCTGGAGGAAGAACCAGGGGTCAACATGGATACAGTTTAGCCCGAAATAGTGTCTCTTAAGGCGGGTAACAGTCATGGGAATATGGGGTGATGTATATGGGCACTTGAGCACCAGCAAGACCCCCACCTCCATAACCTTGTGCACCAGGTGAACCTGTGTACCCACACTTAAGCACTCCCCCATGGACTAAACCAAGAGGGAACACCGGTCAGAAGTTTGTGCCCCTGGTAACACTGAATAACAAAAAAATAGAACCCCCAAGGGTTGCATGTGTGTAGGCATAGTTGGTAACATTTGTCTTGCCCTTGGCAGGGAATTTGCATTGGTAGTTCACATCACATTTCCATTGTGCGGACCTCAGTACATTTGAAGGACAAGTCCCATGTTAACTCTGTCCATAAGACAGACATGTTCCTTACATACTGCTGGAACCCAGGTAACACAGTCTCCAGGCGACATTGCTTCATGTCCCCGGGGTGGCTGAGTTGCAGCTCGTGAACACAGTGTCCTCTGCCGCTGGGGGGCACGTAAACAACAAACAGTCAAATACACCCGAATTCTCTAGGCAGATAAAAGGGTCTTAACGTCATGCTGAGAATTTCTACGTTGGGATTGCAGGTTTTACATTTTACTGAGTATGATCGGCACCACAGATCATTAATATACACACAAATACCGCCTCCTCTGGTTTTCCCCGAGTTCGCATCCCTGTCTGCTCGAACAAGGGTGAGTCCGGGTACTTCAGAGAGAGATTCAGGCATCGTAGATTGGAGCCAACTTTCCGTGAAACATAATAAAGAGGCCTCGAGAAATTCATGACAGTACCTTGTGTATGTCCTTAGTGTGTCCACGTTGTTGCTCAATGAGCGCAGGTTTGTGAGAATGATGGATGGAAGTGGTGGCCGGCTGAATCTCCGCCGTATTCTGAACGCCTCCCCTCCTTCCTCGTCTCTTTTTCCTGGTGTTTCTAAGCGGCTCCCGATGGATTTCATCCAATAACGAAGAGCACAGATGGCTTGGTGTATTCGTAGGAGGCCGATCGCATTGTAGCTCTAGCATTGCCTCGCGTCTGTAGCAGCGTAGAGGCCGGGGCTCCTCGCCATACCTGTTCGTGCTGTCACTCAGGTGTGTCTTGGAAAGTTGAATGGCCAGACATGGTCTGCAGAAGGCAAACGTAATCCACAGGATCAAAAGCATGGTCTCTCAAAATGACGTTTCATACAGACACAACAAAGTTTAGACAAAAAGTCATACATGTGCAAGTCTCAAGTTACTGGGGTGAGAGTCAAGCAAGTCAAGTCCTACAAAATCCTGATGAATAACCCCAGTTTAAATCAGTTAAAAGACAGTGGTTATGAAACTAGAGTTTTATTTTCAACATTAACAACAATGGAGAGTGGGGCTCTGAAATCATAAAACAGGTAATAGGGGGAATAATTGTGGGGGTTAAAACGTAGCAGCCTGCGGTCGCTCGTTAGCTGTTCTAATGAAGGTAAACACAGTGAAGGCACAGCTCTTTGCAGCTGCTGCTGCTCTTCTCAGATTCTGCTGAGTTACACGTTACTGCCTCCTGGTGCTGCAGAGATTTCATGAAGTGAAGGAGGTTTTTCTTCTATGAAGCAGCTGTGGGCAGCAGATACTGTGAGAGTCACAGACATGAATACATAGGTCAAGGCAGACTGGTTCACAGACTCTCCTGTTTTGCCGATCCGGTGCTTGAACAAATAACTCTACACCCCTGGCCGAAATGTCCCTAAAATGAAGTTCGAGTTTGAAATATATCTCAAATAATGTATGTATTTCCCCACATAAACATAACAGTCTGCAATGAAACGGCTGTCTCCTGTGCGCTCCACTTCCTACTTTCTCCTGCGAACGAGAAGAGACTTTCTCTCTCTTTTTTTTCTTTCATTGCCCTCTAGGTGCTTCGTACAATACAAATGCAAATATTCTATTTTAAAAAGTAAAGTCCTTTCGAGTCATCTGTCTCAAGCCTAAGTCTCAAGTCATGAATACCAAGTCAAAGTCAAGTCTTTTATCAATGTTAGTCAAGCAAGTCTCAAGTAAAAAAATAGGCAAGTCAAGTCATGTGACTCGAGTCAAGTCATGTGACACGAGTCAAGTCATGTGACTCGAGTCCCCCACCTCTGGTATATACTTTGGTTAGAATATTGCTGTATTACTGTATCAAATATAATAAAGACAAACAGTTGATAAGTAGTATTTTGTTAACTCAAGGTTTATATTAAGTGAGTTTTTATTGTGGTAACTTGTGTATTTATGCTTTTTAGATTGACTTTCTCTCTTTCTCTGTCCGTCTGTTCTAGAAACCGAAAGGAAGAGAGAGACGTCACAGCTGTTAGCAATGTGACAAATCCTTTACAGCATCTGGAACTTTAAAGCGCCACCTGGTATTCACACGGGAGAAAAACCGTACAGCTGTGAAGAGTGTGGGAACACTTTCACTAGATCAGGTCATCTCAAAACACATCAACGTATTCATACTGGAGAAAAATCTTACAGCTGTGAAGAGTGTGGGAACACTTTCACTAGATCAGGTCATCTCAAAATACATCAACATATTCATACTGGAGAAAAACCTTACAGCTGTGAAGAGTGTGGGACAACTTTCACTACATCAGGTCATCTCAAAATACATCAACGTATTCATACTGGAGAAAAATCTTACAGCTGTGAAGAGTGTGGGAACACTTTCACTAGATCAGGTCATCTCAAATCACATCAACGTATTCATACTGGAGAAAAACCTTACAGCTGTGAAGAGTGTGGGACAACTTTCACTCAATCAGGTAATCTCAAAGTATTCATACTTGAGAAAAACCTTACAGCTGTGAAGAGTGTGGGAAAACTTTCACTCAATCAAGTGCTCTAGAATCACATCACCGTATTCATACTGGAGAAAAACCTTACAGCTGTGAAGAGTGTGGGAAAACTTTCACTCAATCAAGTGGTCTCAAAACACATCACCGTATTCACACTGGAGAAAAACCTTACTGGTGTGAAGAGTGTGGGAAAACGTTCACTACATCAGGTGCTCTCAAAACACATCAACGTATTCATACTGGAGAAAAACCTTACTGGTGTGAAGAGTGTGGGAAAACTTTCACTACATCAGGTGCTCTCAAAACACATCTTCGTGTTCACTCAGGAGAAAACCCATAGTGGGTTTAAGAGTGTAGGAGCCGCATTTAAGCATATTTTGTTTTTTTCACAGTTTACAATAAACAATTCCCATCTATTGGCCTTGTGTTGGGTAATCCTTTTTTCCATTACAGATCCCATCCCAACAGCGCCATCTGTTGACGTAATGTCAGAATTGACAGGCATAATGTTCACTGTTCCTTTAAGTTTCGTTTTCTGTCCGTCTGCCGACAGCGCGCTGTTCCATTGATTTACATACCAAGGTTTAAGTACACTGTGTCAATAGCTGTAGTATGAGCATCGTCTGGGCTGGCCGTCTGGTAGAATCGGTATGCTCTTCCTCCTGTGTCCACTTCCTCTACTGTCACCTATGACCCCTTTTATACACCCCACCACCAAGTGTTCAAAATAACCGCAGGGTCTTAAAAAGTATTCAAAGTTGATAATTCAATTTAGCGAAAATTAAGGCTATTAAAAAGTATTAGACGGCATTTTCCAAGGTATTAAGAAGTTCCACAGCAACGACAACAAGAAACACCCTTTAATTTACTGAAACAACATGTCGGGAAACCCCCTCAAGGTGAATGAAAGAGCACAGAGTACAGAAGCAACAAAGCAGCATACTGCATTAAACCTGACTTTCACAGAGAGGTTGAAGTTCATGGAGAGGAGGCTTCAGCAGTCTGCCTGCACTCTGTTTAGTTGTGCTGTTTAGCTAATCAATATAGTCAATGTGAGGTAAAGTGTCGCAAAGGTAACCGGTTAGAACTCGAAGTTGCGATGAGGTCTTAAAATGTATGGAAAGGGTCTTAAAAAAGGTCTTAAAAGGTATTAAATGTGACTTCAGGATTCCTGCATATACCCTGATATTGCACTATTCACATAAATAAGGTAAACTGAGACACCAACAACACCCATAAAATGGCTCCTACAAAGAGTGTGGGAAAACCTTTTCTTAAAGTATTCACCTTAAAGTCCAGGAGCGAGTTTCACTGTTCATTAATCTGCTTCATGTATCTAGAACATATCTACGATGTTTTCAGTTTGATTCTATTCTCTTGTTGAAATGATCAGACTACCAAAAATAAAATGGCCTTAGAAACAGACCAGCCTGCCCTCCTACAAAAAACCTCATCTTCGACCAAGTCTTTGTGGACCCTGCACCATTCACACAGGAGCTTCTGAAGATACCCATCCCAGAGGACCTGTGTTCCCAATATGAGCGACCTGACAGGGAGGAGGTCATCTCCGGGTATGCTACTCGGTTCAATTTGGCTGCTGTCTGAACCAAACATAGATATTTCGCGGATCAGGAAACTCTCTGTGAATCCTGAGGACAACGCAGGCCGGAATCACCACTCTGATCCTGCGTCCAAGGAAGCCCCAGCACCAGCTCACAAAGCTTCTGTAGGCGAGATACCTGTGACGCCTGAAATCATTAAAAAATATATTTAGTGTCATTTATATATAATACAAGTACATTTAGTTTTTTTTTATGGGTTCAAAGAACCGTTCATTTTGACAGTAAAGTTCAGAGTTGATATCAAATGTGTCGTGATTATTCATGTTTGGATGGGTAAAGAATATTCTGATTTCAAAAGCATAAGGTTGTGTGTGGACTTTTTTTGTCGTACACTTGGGTGTGTTATGCCATTGCTGTGTAATAATATATATATATATATATATAATAGTACATGTACAATGAAAGATTGCATAAAGCCATATACACCAGTATTTATTTCCATGAACAATATTAGCATTCGTTTTACAATTTCAGTCAAAAGAAACAAACCACTCACTGCTCTATTTGCCTCAACTGTAGTCCACCATGTTCAGCTCTGTAAATATTCAATGCATTCTGCAGGGAGAACACATTCAGGCACACAGGCTCCAATCCAGGATGGTCCACCATACAGGTTACAGAGTCCTCAAGTTCCTGCATCCGTCTTGACACCTAGTGTGATAAACATATTGAATCACATGTTACAAATGTATTCTCTAAGCAGACAACTTAGTGAAGCTATCAACAATGTTACCTGTGGTATCTCCATGCACACATTCTCCGGTTCAGAAGGCATCGTGGCGCAATTTGCACATGTCCACCTGTAGAAAGAAGTCAATAACTGAGCTTTTAAAAACACATGAAACTACACACATTGCTGACAACTGAGGTGTTGTTGGAGTTATACTTTGTATCACCCTAAGTTATTGAACTTTCCAACGGTTGTTGCACGATGTTGGAAGAAAAGGACTGTAAACTATTAATAAACGCAATGAGGCCATTGTATATATGCTGAAAATATGAATGTCTCCCTTTATAAATATGTATTGCTGTTTTTGCGTTGAAACTATAAGTTACAAACTGTACACATTGCATTCTTGCTAATTAGCCAACATATGCACGGAATAAGTAGCAATCATCGTAACAGAGTAAAATAAATAGGGACAACAGCTTGTCAACTAACCATTCAGAAACGTCCTGCTGCAACCGAGATCTTTGCACCTCCACCAAAACCTCCGCTGCTTCAGGGTCAGTCTCTGGATCAAATTCATAATATGCTTGAACACATGCATTGCTCTGAGATGACATGTTTATTCCACACGTAATCACAGCAAGCATGGTAACGTGACTCTCGCCGGCGCATGCCCCGCTCTTCTGCAGGGGGGCGTGGTCAGCTGCTGCTCAGAATTTTCAAAGACAGGCTTGGAATAGAGCGAAAATGAGCGAAACGAGGCATGGCTAAAAATGATCCGTTTGGTATTTTGAAAAATAAAATGTATAAATATACCTTATATAGGTATGGTCATACACTATATCATTTACATATTGCATGATAGGTCTCCTTTAAGGTAAGGTCTTCTTGAATAAGAAAAAAACGTTGGGGTTATCCACAGATAAATATGAAGTCTGACAAAGTACTTAACGTCCAATATATTGCATAGTTTATTTTGGCACTTGACAATGACCTTCCCTGAATTTGAGTCAGGTGTAACTAAAGTCTGATTTAAGGGTTGTTTATATTTCACATCATTAATCACAATCTGCAAAGGAACTAAAATAAATGTAGTGGAGTAAAAATGCCAGGTTAACCTCTGAATTGTAGTGGAGTAGAACAAAGTAGTATGCTGCTGTAACAAAAACATTTCAAGTCTGCCGTGGCTCCATTCCATTTCAAAGAGCTGTGACGCTCAGCGTAACCTTGCCGCACTGCCACTCCAACATCCAATCACAGGGCTCGATGACTAATCACGAGGTTTGTAAAGCAAGGCGGATGTTGTAGTCCCAAACGATAGCTGGGGATTCTGGGTAGTGTAGTGTCTTCAGAAACTGTAGTGTCAAAACTCCTATTTGTTTCTCTGAATCGAAGGTTAAAAACACAAAAGCATTGTACACCATTTAAACCAATCAATATTGTGTAATTAACAAGGATAAACTGATGTTGTTTAGTGGATGAGTAATGCAGATATCACTGTGTAATCATTTGACAGTGAGGGAATATATCCGGTTTTATTGTGAAAACTTAGAGACCGGAAAAACAGTTTTCACCCACGCTAACTTTACATGGAAGCTGCATACACGTTATCCTGATGAGACCTCAGATCATCTTCGTAATATCTATCAAACTATAGATCCTACACATCCACTGGACGTGGATTCTAAGAGTACAATATACACTTCTCGCTAGAAATCTAATCAAAAAGCATTTTAATGGCCAAACTATTCCACAATTTAGGATTTTCCAGAGAGGGTTATTTGTGAATAAACGGGAGCATGTTGTTTCTTACACGACCACACTTTGAAACGTGGCTCTGGGTCGTAATCTAAGGTGCTTAAACAATCGACCTATTTGGTCGTTTTTTGTAGGAGGGCAGGCTGGTCTGTTTCTAAGGCCATTTTATTTTGGTAGTCTGATCATTTCAACAGGAGAATAGAATCAAACTGAAAACATCGTAGATATGTTCTAGATACATGAAGGCAGATTAATGAACAGTGAAACTCGCTCATGGACTTTAAGGTGAATACTTAAGAAAAGGTTTTCCCACACTCTTTGTAGGAGCCATTTTATGGGTGTTGTTGGTGTCTCAGTTTACCTTATTGATATGAATAGTGCAATATCAGGGTATATGCAGGAATCCTGAAGTCACATTTAATACCTTTTAAGACCTTTTTTAAGACCCTTTCCATACATTTTAAGACTTCATCGCAACTTCGAGTTCTAACCGGTTACATTGGCGACACTTTACCTCACATCTCTATATTGATTAGCTAAACAGAGTGCAGACAGACTACTGAAGCCTCCTCTCCATGAACTTCAACCTCTCTGTGAAGGTCAGGGTTAATGCAGGATGCTGCTTTGTTGCTTCTGTACTCTGTGCTCTTTCATTCCAGTCAAACTCCTCAGAAACCATTAGAAACCATTAGAAACCAGTATTTGACCAATAAACAAAACAATTGACAAAACTTTGAACTATGAAATATATGAAACTTTGGTGAGCTTCAGCGGGGTAATGCCATATAGGAGCTCCCTCACAAATACCCAGGGGTTCAATTGGGCTGGGGCTGTCCGGGGCTAAGCCCGGCACATAGGACGATGCTCTGACGTCATCACCCTCACACATTTGTCTACAAAAAACGATATATATGTTAAGACTTTTCTCGTTCTTAATATAGACTATATTTAGGGTCGATATGTGTTGAACTCACTTTAATATAGCAGATCTCTGTGACCGGATATAGTTTGGCTTAGACCCCGGCCCCACGAGGACATATACAGTAAAACGCAAACGCAAAAAAGTCTTCCGTTCACACGCATTCGATTCATTAACGCGTCCGTTCACATTAGACCGCTGGAAACGCTGTAGTACATATGCCAGGCCTGTAAGTGGCGCTGCTGCTGCCACAAAATACACCAAAAGCAGCGAAGAAGACCCCGGAGCATGGTTGCCCTTCTGTTTATTCTCCGTGGTGGACGGCGTGTTCTCCTGCTGTATATCTCTCAGGTATACCCCCCCCCCCCCCCACCGAGCGGAGCAAGGCAACGAAACTTAAAATAAGAAGCAGCATTTTATGGCACGCTATGCATGGGGCCACCTTGAGGGGGTTTCCCGACATGTTGTTTCAGTAAATTAAAGGGTGTTTCTTGTTGTCGTTGCTGTGGACCTTCTTAATACCTTGGAAAATGCCGTCTAATACTTTTTAATAGCCTTAATTTTCGCTAAATTGATTTATCAACTTTTAATACTTTTTAAGACCCCGCGGACACCCTGAATGTTATTTTGAACACTTGGTGGTGGGGTGTATAAAAGGGGTCATATGTGACAGGAGAGGAAGTGGACACAGGAGGAAGAGCATACCGATTCTACCAGACGGCCAGCCCAGACGATGCTCATACTACAACTATTGACACAGTGTACTTAAACCTTGGTATGTAAAGCAATGAAACAGCGCGCTAATGGCAGACGGACATAAAACGAAACTTAAAGGAACAGTGAACATTATGCCTGTAAATTCTGACGTTACGTCAACAGATGGCACTGTTCTCACAGAATCAGCCCATGCAAAGACAGTGTTAAATTCAGCGAAATGAGGAATGGCTAAAATGCATGATCTGTTTGGTATTTTGAAAAATAAAAAGTATAAATATGCCTTATATAGGTTTGGTCCTACACTATATTATTCAAATATAGCATGATAGGTCCACTTTAAAGGAACAGTGAACATTATGCCTGTCAATTCTGACGTTACGTCAACAGATGGCGCTGTTGGGATGGGATCTGTAATGGAAAAAAGGATTACCCAACACAAGGCCAATAGATGGGAATTGTTTATTGTAAACTGTGAAAAAAACAAAATATGCTTAAGTGCTCCTACACTCTTAGAACCACTATGGTTTTTCTCCTGAGTGGACACGAAGATGTGTTTTGAGATTACTTGATGTAGTGAAAGTTTTCCCACACTCTTCACAGCTGTAAGGTTTTTCTCCAGTATGAATACGGTGATGTGATTCTAGAGCACTTGATTGAGTGAACGTTTTACCACACTCTTCACAGCTATAAGGTTTTTCTCCAGTATGAATAGTTGATGTGTTTTGAGATCACCTGGTTGAGTGAAAGTTGTCCCACACTCTTCAAAGCTGTACGGTTTTTCTCCAGTATGAATACGTTGATGTGTTTTGAGACCACCTGATTGAGTGAAAGTTTTCCCACACTCTTCACAGCTGTACGGTTTTTCTCCTGTGTGAATAAGCAGGTGGCTCTTTAAAGTTCCAGATGTTGTGAAGGATTTGTCACATTGCTGACAGCTGTGACGTCTCTCTCTTCCTTTCGGTTTCTAGAACAGACGGACAGAGAAAGAGAGAAAGTCAATCTAAAAAGCATAAATACACAAGTTAACACAATAAAAACTCACTTAATATAAACCTTGAGTTAACAAAATACTACTTATCAACTGTTTGTCTTTATTATATTTGATACAGTAATACAGCAATATTCTAACCAAAGTATATACCAGAGGTGGGGGACTCGAGTCACATGACTTGACTCGAGTCACATGACTTGCCTATTTTTTGACTTGAGACTTGCTTGACTAACATTGATAAAAGACTTGACTTTGACTTGGTATTCATGACTTGAGACTTAGGCTTGAGACAGATGACTCGAAAGGACTTTACTCTTTAAAATAGAATATTTGCATTTGTATTGTACGAAGCCCCTAGAGGGCAATGAAAGAAAAAAAAGAGAGAGAAAGTCTCTTCTCGTTCGCAGGAGAAAGTAGGAAGTGGAGCGCACAGGAGACAGCCGTTTCATTGCAGACTGTTATGCTTATGTGGGGAAATACATACATTATTTGAGATATATTTCAAACTCGGACTTCATTTTAGGGACATTTCGGCCAGGGGTGTAGAGTTATTTGTTCAAGCACCGGATCGGCAAAACAGGAGAGTCTGTGAACCAGTCTGCCTTGACCTATGTATTCATGTCTGTGACTCTCACAGTATCTGCTGCCCACAGCTGCTTCATAGAAGAAAAACCTCCTTCACTTCATGAAATCTCTGCAGCACCAGGAGGCAGTAACGTGTAACTCAGCAGAATATGAGAAGAGCAGCAGCAGCTGCAAAGAGCTGTGCCTTCACTGTGTTTACCTTCATTAGAACAGCTAACGAGCGACCGCAGGCTGCTACGTTTTAACCCCCACACACACACAGAATTATTCCCCCTTTTACCTGTTTTATGATTTCAGAGTGACAGCACGAACAGGTATGGCGAGGAGCCCCGGCCTCTACGCTGCTACAGACGCGAGGCAATGCTAGAGCTACAATGCGATCGGCCTCCTACGAATACACCAAGTCATCTGTGCTCTTCGTTATTGGATGAAATCCCTCGGGAGCCGCTTAGAAACACCAGGAAAAAGAGACGAGGAAGGAGGGGAGGCGTTCAGAATACGGCGGAGATTCAGCCGGCCACCACTTCCATCCATCATTCTCCCAAACCTGCGCTCATTGAGCAACAACGTGGACACACTAAGGACATACACAAGGTACTGTCATGAATTTCTCGAGGCCTCTTTATTGTGTTTCACGGAAAGTTGGCTCCAATCTACGATGCCTGAATCTCTCTTTGAAGTACCCGGACTCACCCTTGTTCGAGCAGACAGGGATGCAAATCCGAGGAAAACCAGAGGAGGCGGTATTTGTGTGTATATTAATGATCTGTGGTGCCGATCATACTCAGTAAAATGTAAAACCTGCAATCCCAATGTAGAAATTCTCGGCATGACGTTAAGACCCTTTTATCTGACTAGAGAATCCGGGTGTATTTTACTGTTTGTTGTTTACGTGACTCCCAGCGGCAGAGGACACTGTGTTCACGAGCTGCAACTCAGCCACCCCGATGCACCGGCAATAGTGCTCGGGGACATGAAGCAATGTCGCCTGGAGACTGTGTTACCTGGGTTCCAGCAGTATGTTAGGGATCACAGCAGGAAAGACAATATCCTGGACAAATGCTTTGTTAATGATAAAGGAGCCTATGTGTCTAAATACAGACCACCAATACTGAACTCTGATCATAGTGTTGTGAATATGATACCAGTGTATAAGACCAAACTCAAGGGAACCAGAAAAGAAAGTAAGAAATCATATGTGACTAAGGACATAAAACAAAGACTATGGAGCACTTGAACAGACAGAGAAAGAACTGAAAGTCAAATTGAGGGAATCAAAACACACAGAGAGCTTTTGGGAAATGCTTTTAAAGCCAAAGACCCCAAAAAAGTGTGGGACACCATGAGAACCGTGACAGGAATGACCTCTTCAGCTAAACCTATTGTGACGGACAAGACATACTTGATCCATACCAATTTGCCTATAAGCAAGGGGGTGGTACTGCTGCTACTCTGGTTCACATCATCACTAAACATTTAGATAAACGTCACACCTATGCAAGAGCCCTCTTCCTAGACTTCTCAGCAGCAACACAATACAAGCAGACATCTTGGTGTCAAAAATGGAAGTAAATCCATACCTGATTTACTGGTATGCCGCTTTCCTCACCAGTAGAGAGCAACTTGACCAAACCCTGTCATCTGCCATCACTCCCAATGTAGGGGCCCCCCAGGGCTGCGGGAGTTCAGCTGTGCTCTTAGCTTCTTTGAGCTTCTTTTGATGACTTTACTGAACTGCTGTCTATAGTGTGTTTTGACTTTGACCGTCTAGTCATTGTTGGTGATTTTAACATCCATGTTGACAACCCCCAGGACAGAGGGGCTAAAGAACTGTTTTGTGTTCTTGATAACTATGGACTGACTCAGCATGTGACGGAGCCCACGCACAATAAGGGGCACACTCTGGACTTAATGATCTCAAAGGGTCTGAATATCTCTGAGGTTGTGGTGACTGATGTTGCGCTCTCTGATCATTCCTTTGAGAGCTCTATTTCTGTTCACACAAATGTTCAAAAAGAGGTAACCACAAAGCGATATTTAACTGAAAACACTAGGGAAATGTTTACTCAGGATGTTTCTTCCACACTTGCCCCTGCTAACATCTCAGTAAATGAGCTAGTAGATCATTTTAATTCAAAAATAAAAATGTTATAGATGCCATTGCTCCAACTAAGGTAAAGGAAGTGACTGGCAAGAAAATATCTCCATGGAGAAAGAACATGACCGTGAGAACAGAGAAAAGAGAGTGTCGAAAAGCTGAACGTAAAAGTCCTGCATTCAAAATGTTCCTCAAGTGAAAGTAGAAAAGTATTCTCATCAAAATATAGTTAAAGACAGTAAAAGTATTCATTGTGCAGATTGGTCCATTTCAGAATAATATATATGATATGTTTTATAATGATTGATCATGAAAGTGTTCTCAAAGCTGGTGAAGGTGCAGCTAGTCTGAATGGCTTTGTATACTGCAGGGTAGCTGGTGGATTTACTCCAGGTGGAACTAAAGTCTGATTCAACACTTGATTAGATTTCACATCATTCATCCACATCTGTGAAGTAACTAAAGGTATTAAATACATGTAGTGGAGGAAAAGTACACCATGTACCTCTGACTTATGTTCACTGCCAACCTAAAAGTACCTAAAAGAATAGTAATCAATAATGTATTGAGAAGTTATTTGGCTGATTGTTTTTATATCGGCTCAGCCAGGTTATATGGGAGGCCCAGTCTACGTACACTCTAAAAACAAATGCTTGGCTTAACAAAGAGAATCAAGGCAATAGGTTGCATCGATGGTTATTGAGTTAAGACAACTTCTAATGAAATGTTGTTAAAGCAACAAAGTTATTTGAGTTAGGGGAGAAGGCGTCTCCTCTACAATCAGGTGTTTTCAATTACCACTTACTTAATCATTGGTAGCATAAACACAAGTTTTAAGTTGATTACTCCAAACGTTCCAACTTGTTTTACCGTAGGATTTAAATGTAATCTTAAGTTGTATGTACTTAATTACCACATGTTGAACATGAACACATGTTTTTAAGTTGACAGCCATTTGTAAATTAAGTTGCTCCAAATAATATTGTATTCAATAGTTTTTCTCTTAGCTTTTCCATGTTTTGCCTTTAAAGAAATAAATTAATTGATTCCACAACAAAAATATGAGGCAATTCACTTTTTATTTTTGAACTGCAGTTGTTTATTTCAACGCATGATGTTTCAATCAGGAGAGTTTGAATTTCAAGTTGTATTTGAATGACAAAAGATGACACTCACCTTAAAATGTCCTTTGTATATTTCTATTTGTCTTAACTGTGGGAACTTGTCCAGGCCTGTTAAGTGGGAGTGGACTTGAAATCCTTAACTCAAGGTGTAGAACAATAAGTTATCAAGCCAATTGCATTACTTACTTCAACTTGAATTTAGTTTGAAGTCAATTAACGCAGAAATCAGAGTTCAAATGACACACAATATTAAGTTGATGTAATTACCAACATTATTACGTCAACACAACTTATAAATTAATGTTGCAACTTAAAATGTTTATCTAAATCAATTAACTCACATGTTTATCTTGCAACCAGTGCATTTAATTAAGTGGAGGTGAAAGGTCGCCTGAATTCGGTTTTTAGACGTACAGATCACTCATTTTGAAATATTAAACTTAGTTTTCTTTTCTTTAATTTTTCATCCTCGTGTAGAATGCTATCACGAAACACACATTTGGTTGTTTATAGCATAAAGAACATCTGAGTTAATGTGAGGTAGGGAAATAATCATTTGAGTATGTGCATATAAATATGTAATTTACAACAGCTGTAAGATACTTGAAAAGCTTGAAAATGCACCTTGAAAATGCTTGAAAAGTGCTTGAATTTGACTTTGGAAAAGGTGTAAGAACCCTCTTATGCCTTTGCCTGAAGACGGTGACGAACTTCTCATGGTGTGCACACCTAGACCGGACTTAAAAGACGTTCCTCTGACCAACGCTGACCTCATTTTGTATGTTGATGGGTCTGCCTCTCGCGACCAAGGGGGCACTAATCGGGTGGGTTTTCCTGTTGTTTCAGATTCTGCTGTACTCCGTTCCGGACCAATCCCATGTCTCAGCACAAGCAGTAGAGCTCATCGCACTAACTGAAGCCTGCACGTTTGCAGAAGGCAACACCGTGACTATTTACACTGACGCTATGCTATGCTTTTGGGGTAGTACACGATTTTGGGGCTATTTGGAAGTGTAGACAATTTCTGAAATCTGATGGCAAACCAGTACTTAACCATGTACTGGTTGCAGGCTTACTAGACGCCACTCTGCCCTCATCTGAAGTTGCAGTCTGTAAATGTGCCGCACAAGCAAGCAGTACAGACCCAGTTTCCCTAAGAAATTCGGTCTGCTAATTTACCTGCTGACTCAGCCGCAAAGGCAGCTGCTCTGATTCCTCTCGCACCTCACGCACAATCATTTGTTAAAATCCCTGTCTCCTCCTTCACTGACAAAATGTCGTCACTGACTTCCATGCAGCAGCTCGCTACACCAGTTGAGAAAGCTTTTAAAGCCAAAGACCCCAAAAAAGTGTGGGACACCATGAGAACCGTGACAGGAATGACCTCTTCAGCTAAACCTATTGTGAAGGACAAGACATACTTGATCCATACCAATTTGCCTATAAGCAAGGGGGTGGTACTGCTGCTACTCTGGTTCACATCATCACTAAACATTTAGATAAACGTCACACCTATGCAAGAGCCCTCTTCCTAGACTTCTCAGCAGCAACACAATACAAGCAGACATCTTGGTGTCAAAAATGGAAGTAAATCCATACCTGATTTACTGGTATGCCGCTTTCCTCACCAGTAGAGAGCAACTTGACCAAACCCTGTCATCTGCCATCACAACCAATGTAGGGGCCCCCAGGGCTGCGGGAGTTCAGCTGTGCTCTTAGCTTCTTTTAGCTTCTTTTGATGACTTTACTGAACTGCTGTCTATAGTGTGTTTTGACTTTGACCGTCTAGTCATTGTTGGTGATTTTAACATCCATGTTGACAACCCCCAGGACAGAGGGGCTAAAGAACTGTTTTGTGTTCTTGATAACTATGGTGGGGACCCTCTCATGACATCCAACTATAGGCCCATCAGTATCTTACCCATAGTAGCCAAGGTATTTGAGAAATTGATTGCCAAACAAATCATCAATCATCTCAACAACAGCTCCTTGTGTTCAAATTGAGAACCATAAGTCTAGTGTTTGTCAACTGGAGTACCGCAGGGCTCTGTATTGGGCCCAATCCTGTTTAGTATGTACATAAATGATCCGCCTTCTGTGTGTGGAGAATGTGATGTATGCTGATGATACAGTTGTGAGCTCACAGCTCCTCATATATGTTCAGAAACTAGACAGAAGTTAAACAAGTACAAACCACAGACTGTCTGTGTCATGGAGAATACAGTCACTGCTTTATTTATGTCTGTATAGGGCGTTCCGAGCTGAATAAGGGCATCAAATGAAGGCAAGACGCCCGCCTGGCGGAAACGCTGGAATTAGGAATATATTGTGATGAAGTGCACACTGACCTGAGCTCCAGGGGTCTCTTTCTTCTCCTCCATGCTGCTAATCAGCTGTCCTGATGAAGACCACAGAGCTGCTTCATTATTAATATAATACAAGTATTTAGATATAATTCATCATAAACTGTCAGCAGTGAAGAGGAGGAATTCAAAGAGTTTATTCAATGATATGTTCTATTTCTAGATGCTTATATGTAGTGTTTTATCACACCATGTGCAGTGCCTTGTCTTATCTATGCTGCTGTGACGTAAACATGGTCCAAATTGATCCATTTAGTCAATGTGATGCTAAGCAGAGGAGAACATGATAGAAAGGTCAGATAGTTATTAACGTTACATGCACATTACTTTAACCATTACGATACAAAGTTGGTTTTCTGTGTAAATTATTATTAATATAATACAAATATTTAGATATAATTCATCATAATCTGTGTAGCAACTTACATTCTAACTTACAGCTCACAGTTTGTTCACTTTTATTTCATTAAAATGACTTTATTCACATAGAAAGTGACATTAATGGTTGTTTGAACCACTGTTATAGCGCTATCCGTGTGTAACTATCACTAAGTTAACACAGAAAGCAAACATTAGCTGGTGAGACTGTTTAATGTACTCCATGTATACAGTATTTTCTGTATATTGTGTATTCTTTAGATACTCTAGTGATATGTGTCCTGTGTGTATACTTGCTGCTAATGCTTCATTTTTATTATATCTTATTGCATCTTTTAAATATGTTTAACTCGTGTAATGCCTGAAAACACTTCTGCTGTGACACATTCATTTCCCACTTTAAGATAAATCATTATTTAAATAAAGTATATCTATTTATCTAATGAGCTAAACCGTCGCTTAGCTTAGCGTTAGCTGCTAACTGAAGAACCCCATTCATTTCAATGGGAAAAATGCTACGTCACGGCGAATGGCGATGCTAATAAGCTAGTTAGCATATATTTAAAACCATATATATGGTAAAGAGCACCAACACAACAACTCAAACCGTCTTAAACACAACTGGTGTAATAAATAACTAACATAAAGTCAGCTGAGCATTACATATCAACTGTTACTCCCCCAGAGCCGAACTGGAATAATAACTGTAGCTGTTAGCCGATAGCCGTTAGCTTTCAGACTTTAGCTGTTAGACTGAAGATTACAGCTGTTGTGTTGAATAAAATAACTTCTGATTCGTGATTAACTGTAAACTAAGAGGTTTAATCCACTCACCTCTTCTTCTTCTCCTTTCTTCTTCTTCTCCTTCTCCTTCTCCTTCTCCTTCTCCTTCTTCTTCTTCTTCTTCCGTGTTTATTGGCGGTTGGCAAACCAGCTTGTAGGCGCATTACCGCCACCAACTGGACTGGAGTGTGGACAAGAGACTATGCAGAAAACAAGAAACAAAATAAACAAAACAAAGAACCAAAACTCTAGATTATTTTAAATGTATCAATTTCTCTTAGAAACTTAATAATCTCACAATATATATTGCCTGATGTTTTCCTTAACAGCCCTGATAGCGACAAGTCATGGAATTTTGCTTTCTTCAGTGTCTGGAAAAGCACATTTCTCTGAGTACTATATTTCCTGCAAAGCAGTAAAACATGCTCAACAGTTTCTGGCTGGCTGCAGTGTATACACTTTCCGGTTGGATGCTTTCCTATATATATTGAGACCTGTATTATACTTAAAGTATGACTGAGACCTGTATTATACTTAAAGTATGATTGAGACCTGTCTGAAGAACCAGCACCTTACCGTGGTAGAGAGGTTTGTGTGCCCTGATGAACCTGGGGGCTGTGTTGTCTGGAACCTTGTGTTCCTGGTAGGGTCTCCCATGGCAAATTGGTCTCAGGCAAGGGGCCAGACTAAGATTGGTTCAAAAGACCTCATGAAAGAACAACAAAGAAGTGAGGATACCCGGCCCGGAGGAAGCCCGGGGTCCCCTTCTGGAGCCAGGCCCAGAAGGAGGACTCGTCGGCGAGCGTCTGGTGGCCGGGCTTGCCACGGAGCTCGGCCGGGCCCAGCCCGAAAAGGCAACGTGGGCAACACCTCCGCTTCTCCGTCCCGCGGGCCCACCACCTACGGGAAACATCGATGGGGTCGGGTGCGCTGCCAGAAGGGTGGCAGTGAAAGCGGAGGGTCTCGACGGACCAGACCCGGGCGACAGAAGCTGGCTTTGGGGACGTGGAACGTCACCTCTCTGGGGGGGAAGGAGCCGGAGCTTGTGCGGGAGGTGGAGCGTTACCAGTTGGATCTGGTTGGGCTCACCTCTACGCACAGCGTCGGCTCTGGAACCTTACTTCTGGATAGGGGTTGGACTCTATTCTTCTCCGGAGTTGCTCAAGGTGTGAGGCGCCGGGCGGGTGTGGGGATACTCACAAGTCCCCGGTTAGGTGCTTCGTTGTTGGAGTTTACCCCAGTGGACGAGAGGGTCGCCTCCCTACGCCTGCGGGTTATGGGGGGGAAAACTCTGACTGTTGTGTGTGCTTATGCACCCAACAGCAGTTCAGAGTATACGGCCTTCTTGGAGACCCTGGAAAGAGTCCTGTATGGGGCTCCTGAAGGGGACTCTTTAATCTTGCTGGGAGACTTCAACGCACATGTGGGCAATGATGGAGACACTTGGAGGGGCGTGATTGGGAGGAACGGCCCCCCTGATCTGAACCGGAGTGGTGGTTTGTTACTGGACTTCTGTGCTAGTCATGGATTGGCCATAACAAACACCATGTTCGAACATAAGGATGCTCATAAGTGTACGTGGTACCAGAGCACCCTAGGCAGAAGGTCCATGATCGATTTCGTTATCGTATCATCGGACCTGAGGCCGTATGTTTTGGACACTCGGGTAAAGAGAGGGGCGGAGTTGTCAACTGATCACCATCTGGTGGTGAGTTGGGTCGAGTGGCGGGGGAAGCCTCTGGATAGACCTGGTAAGCCCAAACGTGTAGTTCGGGTGAACTGGGAACGTCTGGAGGAGGCCCAAGTTCAGGAGGCCTTCAACTCACACCTCCGGCGGAGCTTTTCGGGCATTCCTGTGGAGGTTGGGGACATTGAACCAGAGTGGTCGGTGTTCAAAGCCTCTATTGCCAAAGCCGCGGCGGGGAGCTGTGGTCTCAAGGTCCTAGGTGCCTCAAGGGGCGGTAACCCTCGAACCTCCTGGTGGACACCGGTGGTCAGGGAAGCCGTCCGACTGAAGAAGGAGGCCTTCAGGGATTTGTTATCCCGGGGGACTCCCGAGGCAGTTGCAAGGTACCGACAGGCCCGAAGGGCAGCAGCCTCATCCGTGGCCGAGGCAAAGCAGCGGGTGTGGGAGAAGTTCGGAGAAGACATGGAGAAGGACTTTCGGGCGGCACCAAAGTTGTTCTGGAAAACTGTCCGACACCTCAGGAGGGGGAAGCAGGGAACCATCCAAGCTGTGTACAGTAAGGATGGGACGTTGTTGACCTCAACTGATGGAGTGTTAGGGCGTTGGAAGGAACACTTTGAGGAACTCCTGAACCCGACAACTCCGCCCTCTATGTTAGAGGCAGAGCTGGAGTATGACGGGGGATCAACACCAATCTCCCGGGGGGAGGTCACTGAGGTCGTCAAACAACTCCACAGTGGCAAAGCCCCGGGGGTGGATGAGATCCGCCCGGAAATGCTGAAGGCTCTGGGTGTTGAGGGACTGTCATGGTTGACACGTCTCATCAACGTTGCGTGGAAGTCGGAAACAGTACCGAAGGAGTGGCAGACCGGGGTGGTGGTCCCCCTTTTTAAAAAGGGGGATCAGAGGGTGTGTGCCAATTACAGAGGCATCACACTACTCAGCCTCCCCGGGAAAGTTTACTCTAAGGTACTCGAAAGGAGGGTCAGGCCGATTGTCGAACCTCAGATTGAGGAGGAACAATGCGGATTCCGTCCTGGTCGTGGAACGACGGATCAGCTTTTTACTCTCGCAAGGATCCTGGAGGGGGCCTGGGAATACGCTTATCCGGTCTACATGTGTTTTGTAGACTTGGAGAAGGCGTATGACCGAGTTCCCAGGGAGTTACTGTGGGAGGTGCTGCGGGAGTATGGGGTGAGGGGGTCTCTACTCAGGGCCATCTAATCTCTGTACTCCCAAAGCGAGAGCTGTGTCCGGGTCCTCGGCAGTAAGTCGGACCCATTTCCGGTGAGGGTTGGCCTCCGCCAGGGCTGCGCTTTGTCACCAATCCTGTTTGTAATATACATGGATCGGATTTCGAGGCGTAGTCATGGGGGAGGGGGTCTGCAGTTCGGTGGACTAAGGATTGCACCACTGCTTTTTGCAGATGATGTGGTTCTAATGGCTTCATCGGTCTGCGACCTTCAGCACTCACTGGATCGGTTCGCAACCGAGTGTGAAGCGGCTGGGATGAGGATCAGCACCTCCAAATCTGAGGCCATGGTTCTCAGCAGGAAACCGATGGACTGTCCACTTCAAGTAGGGAATGAGTCCTTACCCCAAGTGAAGGAGTTCAAGTATCTCGGGGTCTTGTTCTCGAGTGAGGGAACAATGGAGCGTGAGATGGGCCGGAGAATCGGAGCAGCGGGAGCGGTACTGCAGTCGCTTTACCGCACCGTTGTGACGAAAAGGGAGCTGAGCCAGAAGGCAAAGCTCTCTGTCTACCGGGCCATTTTCGTTCCTACCCTCACCTATGGTCATGAAGGATGGGTCATGACCGAAAGAACGAGATCGCGGATACAAGCGGCCGAGATGGGTTTCCTCCGCAGGGTGGCTGGTGTCTCCCTTAGGGATAAGGTGAGAAGTTCGGTCATCAGGGAGGGACTCGGAGTTGAGCCGCTCCTCCTTCGCGTCGAAAGGAGCCAGTTGAGGTGGTTCGGGCACCTAGTTAGGATGCCACCTGGGCGCCTCCCTAGGGAGGTGTTCCAGGCACGTCCAGCTGGGAAGAGACCAAGGGGTAGACCTAGGACCAGGTGGAGGGATTATATATCTTCGCTGGCCTGGGAGCGCCTTGGGATCCCCCAGTCAGAGCTGGTTGATGTCGCCAGGGAAAATAAAGTTTGGGGCTCTCTGCTGGAACTGCTACCCCCGCGACCCGACCACGGATAAGCGGGAGAAGATGGATGGATGGATGGATGAGACCTGTATTATACTTAATGTATGATTGAGACCTGTATTATACTTAATGTATGATTGAGACCTGTATTATACTTAAAGTATGATTGAGACCTGTATTATACTTAATGTATGATTGAGACCTGTATTATACTTAAAGTATGATTGAGACCTGTATGCTTTACCACATTCCATGTACTTATACCTGCTAAAGCATTCGATACAAATGTCAGATCGAGTACTGTTTCTATATTCTTCGTGCAATTATATCGTGTTCCTTCTCCAGTGTTAATGCACACTAGCCCGAGGTCATCTATAAATTCCTCAACTACTGCCCCATTTGCATCTGTGCTACTGCTTCCCCATAGCGAGCTATGTGAATTAAAACCCCCACACCATATTACTTTGTCTTGCAGTGAACCCCCAGCATCCTCTAATATACTTTGATCTAATTTCCCACATTATAATAATTTACGATATCTATAGGTCCTCTATCATTCCATACCCTTATAACTATTGCTTCATGATCTGTACTTACATGCATAACGTTGTAACTTATCCCACTCTGTATGAATGTTGCAACTCCTCCCCCTCTGCCAGAGTCCCTATCTCGTCTAACTGCAGTTTATCCCTTCACAATAAAATCCAGTTGTGCTTTCAGCCATGTTTCCTGAATACAAAGAACATTAGGTTTCTCTCCCAGGTTGTCAATATATTTTTTGAACTCTTGTCCATTTGAAATTAAACTTCTAGCATTTCACTGCAGTGCAATTACCACCATCAGGATGATCCAGTCCATGTCTGATGTTGTTGGACGTCATCATTTAGGATATCTTTCACGTGTCCCCAGTGCATCCCTTTCACATCAAGGTACTTTTCAGCTGATTTGACAATTATTTTGATTCTTTCATTCCGGCTTGTAGTCTGCGCTGAACAGTTGATCATCTCTGCCATAAACAGTACAAACTCTCTTTTACTCACTATCAGAGTGTCCTCCTTCAACTTAACTTCCTGCCTCGTCACTTCCCTCTGCCATCTCTCGTCCAGTCACAGTCCAGTGTTGCCACCACCCCCTCTACCGCTCTACCGTAGACCGGAAGTTTACAAGCGCACGCTCAATGAACCGGAAATGGAAATACGTCATCCCGTGCAACTAGCCTATTGTAGTGG